AGCGTAAAAAAAAAGCACGCTTCTAACGCATTTTAGAACTTAGTCGAAAACTGGAAAAACTGATACGCAAAAGTTACCTGGAAATAGTGTTCCAGCACAAACATCTTCCACACCACAGGATGTTCTTAAATAACCCACCAAACTTTCAGTTCCAACACTATCTTTGCTGATTTCGTAGTCAAACTTTCGGTACTGATCCATCCAGTACAGCAGACTTGACATTGTATAATTTGATACATAAAAATCTATCATACCATATGTCTCATTTGGTAAATGCATTGGTGTTGAATGAAACGGTAAACGAAAATCATTGAATCTATTGGCACCTAAAAATTTCGCAGTTTAGCTGTCTACAAAAAAAACTCATAAATGAATATATTTATCAAATAATAATACTCCCCCCTCTAAAAAAAGAAAAAACTTGTGAAATAGAAAAGTTTTTTGCTCCACTATTCATCACTTATAATTGGAACTGACTATTAGACAACTTATTTTCACAATAATTCTTGAATGTTCACAAATTACTTCTGTAAAACAATGTAACTTAATGTTTTCAAAATTTAATAATTTGGAGGACAAGTATAAAGATAAAAAGTACACAAGCTTGACAACCGGAAATAACTGAATAAAAGTTTGGTAAGAAAAAAAGCACATTTTATCTAAATTACCTCTTTTTCCTAAAAAAAAATGTTCTAACATCAATCTGTTCAATGTTATTATCCATAATATATTTGGTAAGACAAAGGAAAAAAAAACTTTTGAGAGATGTAATAATTGCTGTCTTCTTTTTGGTTTAATCGCTAAATCGGTGCCTCAACTATTTACTCTCCCATAATTATCAGTTACAGTGAAAATTGTTGAAAGAGTAAAAATTAAAAATCAAAGTATACTTTAGTTAATCGGATTATTAAGACATCTCTGTTTCGAACAGCAATTATTTTAGAGTACATCACTGACACTCTTTAAGCCTATCTTCTATTAAGCAAGTAGTAAGAAGAATCCATAAGATTAAAAAATCATTTAATTATGCTTAGCGTTATCAAATTTTGCAACAAAATCTATCCTCCTTGATTGTAACAAACAATTTGACTCCTTAAATAATCACTGTTCTCCATATTTTTTTTACATTCAATTATCTCGAGTATATGTAGCGGTTCCTTTTGATCAACATTGAACTTTTCAAACGTTTACTGCTGTATCACCTCTTCGTTCGGCAGCCAACAAACACTAATAACACTTTTAAAGCTCTTTATTGTGTCAACGAAAAGCGGCCTACCCGCAGGGCATCCTCGACGGTTCAATCTCCGCTGGCACAACTTCACAGATCAAAATGCGGGAGTGTGCAACTTAGAAACTGATTAATACTTCATAAACAAAAATCTCATTAATACCAACAAAAAAAAAATGAATAAAAAAAAAACAAAAATGATTTTTTTATACGCAAATTAAAATTCTGTAATTCGACTCTGAACTTTGTTTTCCTCTTTCACAACAAAAAACTACTGTTTACGTTTTTCAATAAATAGTTATACAGATATATCCTTCCTCATCGCATGTTTTTATTAACAACCAACACTGTAAGATTTGAATGTTCAAACACTCAAGAATAAGTCTGATAAAATGTGCAGAAAAAAATAATGTTGAACATCTAATCATTTCATTACTTTTTTCTCACAATCTTCAACATTGGCTAAATGTATCAAAAAAAGATAACCTTGGCGAAGAATGGCAAACGTATTTCCACGATGTCGTGTTTCTATGAATTTTTCTGTATAGTTTATTTTGTCAGTAAAGCCATAGTTGATAAAGTAATGCTCAAACAGAATTGCACTCATTGGTGTATTCATCAGTCGATTTGAAACTGATGGCATCAGTTCTGAGTAGAATTTTGAGCACAGTACCTTTAATATTTTAATTTATTTGTTTCATATCAAATGCAAAAACGACCAATAAGCAAAACATATTAGTTGTTATTAAATTGCAGGTATTTGAGCAAAAAAAAAAAAAAAAAAAAA